CATATATTAGATATAAAAGTCAGAAATGCTCCTCTTCGAACTACATACGGGGGGGGGGGGTTTATAGGCTGGGTTTGAAAAGGTGGGCAAAGCAGGGAGCCCAACCTGATCAATGCGCACAGCAGCAGCAAAGGCCCCTCTCCAGGGACAAGGGAGAAATTATATATATACATATTTGTGTATATATATATATATGTGTAGATCTATATATACACACAGCCACACACACAGCCACATTCATCTCCCTCTGCACCCCCAGGACACCCCGGGATGGGGTGAAAGGGATGGGGTGTCACCAGGGGGGCTGAGAGCAGGACAAGGCACCGGAGGGACGGATTTGGGAGTCCTGGGATGGGGCAGGAGGTTCCTCTGCTCCTACAGAAACCCCTTCCCTTTCTGCTGGGGGGGGCTCCCCGGTGGGAGAGCTGGGGTTGGCAGCCCTGGGGAGGGGGCAATCCTGGCTTGCAGGACATCCCTGGCAGGATGGTAAATGCCCATGGAATGCCGTGGCCCGGGAGGTGTACCCTGCCTCAGCAGCTCTCCTCCCAGCTGGGGAAAAAAAATAAAAATATGGGAAAAGTCCTCAGCTGGAGGCACAGAGGGCACTGAGCAGTGACAGCCCTGGCCGGCAGGGCCAGTGCGATCCCACTGGGGGCTACTGGTATCACCCTGCTGCAGTGGATGCCACTACCCCCACCCAGGCTGAGACCCCCCCCGTTGCCATCCTCACTGGGGGTGCAGAAGAAGGGAAAAGAGGAAGGCACTCTGGGTTTTCGGCTCCTCGGAGAGTGACAGTGGCCAGCTGGAAGGCTTGCATGGGGAGGGGACAGTGAGCCCCCACGTCCCTTACAGAAGGGGGGGCTCTGATTGCCCATGGCAGCCCCTGACTCAGCTGGGGCAACCCTGGAGGGTCGGGGGCAGATCCCAGCTCTGCCGACAGCAGAACCAGGCTGGGACCCCCCCACACCCCAACAGTGACCCCAAACCCTGGGGGCAGGGAGGGGGCAGCTCCTGCAGGGGACCCCGGAGGAGCCCTGGCCTCTCACTAGGAATTGGGGGGGGCATCACACACCCACGTGTACACACATCTCTCCAACCTCTGTCCCAGGGTCCCGGAGACATTCAGAATGGGGGGAGCCACCAGCAGAACCCAATTTGGGGGTCCCCACTATGAGCCTTGAGGTCTCCCCCCACGGTGTTGGGGGCAGGGGGGGTCAGGCCATGGCCAGGCCCTCTGCGTGGCTGTGGATGGGGACTGTGCTGGACACCCCGCTCTCGCCTTTGTAACTTTTGGGGGCCCGGCTGGCTTTCAGCAGGACCAGGAAGGTGTCTGTGGAGATGGCCCCGAACTCAAAGGTGAAGGTGCCGTAGAAGACCAGGACGTCGATGATGAACATCCACTCACAGAGGGCAGCCACGTGCTGCAGCACGAAGCTCTCCTGGATGAAGAACACGCCACCTGAGGGCATCTCCGTCAAGGAAAAAGCACAGCTGGACCCCCAACTGCCCCATGGAGGACCATGTCCCACTGCCACTGCATCCTGGAGTGGCCCCCCCTCTGCAGAAAACATACCACCAACCCCAAAAACCAAGAAACCCACAGCACCAGGAAGGTCCCAGCGTGGGTGAGGTGGTGGCACAGGTGCCCAAACCAGCCTTGGTAGGTAAATCACGGGACCGACGCCAGGTGGGATGTTCTGAGGAGGCTGGGGCAGGGGGAAGTGGGGCTGCAGCCCCCCTGGGGGAGCTGGGTGTCCCCCCCGCCTCACCCTCCCCACATCTCTCCTCCTCTCCCTCGAACTGGACCAACGCTCCCCACACCTTCCCATGGGATGCAGAGTTGATAAAACTCATCAGCCCCCTCTCTCCCCTCGTTAAGGGGGTTTGGGCGCTGCGTCCCCCCACAGCACCCCCCACACACCCCATCCCTCTGTGCTGCTGGCTGCCTCACCCCACAGAGGGGACCTGCTCCCTTTCCTCCAGGTCCCACTGTGGCCAGAGCTTCTTTATGCTTCTCTCACTCCCACTGGGGATCTCCAGGGAAACCTCCTGCCTGAGGATCTCTGGAGAAACCGACCTACGGGGGGGTGTTCTCCAGGGAAACCTTCAACCACGGGTGAGGGGAGGAGGCAGGTAACCCCCCCAGCCCTCCACTGAAGCCTCTGCCAGTGTCCTGCCCTCTGCCAGCGAGCAGGTCTGGGAGAAATGGAGATGCAGGGACCTGACCCGTGCAGGACAGAGCCCTCTGCTCACTGTCCCCATCCCACCAGGAGAGCTCCCAGCCCTTTCCCCACACCGTCCCCACCACAACTCCCCCGCTTCCAAGTCCCCGCCGAGCAGCGTGGCCACAGCAGGCGGGCACCGAGCCCTTGTCTCCCTTGTCCTTACATGCCCTGCCTGTCCCTCCCAGCTGGCACGGGACACTCCTGCCCTTCCCAGCTCCCTGCCCTTCTTCCCAGCTCCCTGCCCTTCTTCCCAGCTCCCTGCCCGCTGCCGTGACAGAGCCAGACCCCCTGGCACGTCCCAGTCCCACCAGTACCCCCCAGGCTCCTCCGCTGCTCACCCCAGCCAGCCACTTTGTGGACACTGCAGGCTTTTTCCTCTCTTCCTGCCCAACAACCACCATCCGGTTTTCCCAATTTATCCCAAACCTCAGACCCAAATAAGCCTCTGCCCTGTACACATTTGGGACCATCCTTCCAGCCCCGCTGCTGCCACGCACCCCCCTGGCACCCACACAGAGCACTTTTGTTTGGGGTTTCGGTCCCACAGGTAATTCACACTGACTTTGCATCGCCGAGGGCTCAACATACTTTTGTCTCATTTAAAAAACACCAACAATTAACCCGTCCTTCCACTCCGCAAGGTGTGAGGCTGCAGCCTGCAGCGGTGGCTGGGCTGGGCTGCAGCACCCCAGGGTTTGGGGCTGCTTCGGGGAACCCCAAGAGATGCCCACCAGGATGCCTTCCCCTCCTCACCCCCTGCCCTGCCCTGATACTGCTGCTCCTCCAGCCTACACCTGCAGCGAGCTGCCCGTCCTCAGCCCCCAGCCCCTCACAGAACCATGACTCCTGGCCAGACCAAAGGATGGAGGACGTGGGGTGGGTAACCCCCACCAGGACCACCTTTCGCCAGCCCATCCCAGATCTCCTCCCCGCCCCCTTCAGAAGGATACTGAAGACGAGGGTGAGGAAGGCCACAGCGGTGAGGATGCTACGCAAGTGGCCGGTCCAGTACTGCCCACGGGTTTTGGCCATGCGGTAGGTGAGGATGGACTGGAGGAGCAGGAACAGCATGCTGGTGGGGAAGGCCACCCCTGCCCCGATGTAGTGCAGCACCTTGGCATGATCCACCTGGGGGGGAAAGACCATGGGTGTTGGGGACACCCCTCCTTTCCTGTGAGGGTGGTGGAGCACTGGAACAGGTTGCCCAGGGAGGTGGTTGAGGCCCCATCCCTGGAGATATTCAAGGAGAGGCTCGATGAGGCCCTGGGCAACCTGGTCTAGTTGGGGATGTCGGACTAGATGACCTTTGGAGGTCCCTTCCAGCCTGGACAATTCTATGATGGCTCTGCTCCAGGGGGTGGGCAGTGCCAGCAGTGGTTCCAGGCAGGGTGGAATCCTGGCTGAGGAGCAGATCTGGACCTGCTGGTGGCATCAGATTTAGATTGGAGATTTGGAGATGAGGAGAGGGTTCTTCACTGTGAGGGTGGTGGAGCACTGGAACAGGTTGCCCAGGGAGGTGGTTGAGGCCCCTTCCCTGGAGATATTCAAGGAGAGGCTCGATGAGGCCCTGGGCAACCTGGTCCAGTTGGGGGTGTCCCTGCTGACTGCGGGGGGGTCGGACTAGATGGCCTTTGGAGGTCCCTTCCAGCCTGGGCAATTCTATGATTCTATGATCTCAAAGCACTTCTGATACCTCCTGAGCCCCCTTGGGCCAACAGCCCTGCTGTGCCTGGGGGGCACAGGGGCAGGGACTGCCCTCTGCCTTGAGCATCATCTGGGGGTGCCTGCACCCCCTCCTCCTGGCGGGGTCACAGCCTTCAGCAGAGCCACGGCTGGGGCAGAAGGGGGACGGGGGGCCAGCAAAGCTTCTGTTTGGGGGGAGAGGTCCCCCCCTGCCAAGCGGAAGGGACCGGGGCCTGCAGGCAGGGAGCAGGCAGCTGCCGGGAGCCCGGTGCCTGGCAGCGCAGGCGTGGGGCTGAGCTGCTGCCAAGCCCTGGACCCTGCGAGCGCAGGCTGTGCCCAGACACGCTGCCTGGCATCGTGTCCCCCCCCCTTCCTCCCCCCCGAGCAGGAAAACATCCACAGCGGGGTGGCCGGGCAGCCGGAGCACCAACAGCTTGGCTGGGTCCTCTCTGTCCGCCTGGGACATCCCTGCTTGCCCAGCGTCAAGCGTCCGTGGAGGGGCACAGACCAGGCAGAAGGTCCCAGATGAGCGTTAAAACCAAACCCAGCAGCTCTATCTGGACCTGGAACAGAATCACAGAATCTTCTAGGTTGGAAGGGACCTTAAAGATCATCTTGTCCAACCGTCAACCTAACTGACAAAAATAGACACCCCCACAACAAACAAGAAGCATCATCACTAAACCACATCTCCCAGCACTACATCAACCTGTCTTTTGAACACCTCCAGGGATGGGGCCTCAACCACCTCCCTGGGCAGCCCATTCCAATGCCTGATAACCCTTTCAGTGAAAAAATTTTTCCTAATATCCAGCCTGAACCTCCCCTGGCGCAACTGAACACTGAGAGCACCAGCAAAGGGGAGTCCTAACCCATGGGACACAGCCCCCGCAACCCTGGGGACAGAGCCCCTCCAGGGAATGACCCAACAGGGTCCTCCAGGAGCATCACACTTGGGTTTCCACCTCCCGTGCCCTTCCTGCTGGCTCTGCTCCCACACCCAGAGGAGGAGAAGATGGTGGGGTTGGGGATGGACCAAAGCAAGCACCCCAAATCCCACACTGCCGAGCACTGCCGCTGCTCCCCTCCAGCCAAAGCCCCCCTCTCCCACCCCCAGGGAACCCACCCCACCTCCGAGGAGATGCCTTACCTGGAAGTTGCCCACCATGGTGAGGCCGGCGGCGCAGACCCAGCCGGTGGCCAGCCCCAGGGTGTTGAGGAGGGACGGCCCGAGGCGCTCCAGGAGGTGGGCATAGCGCAGCAGCCCCACCAGGATGACTGCAGGAGGGAGACACAGTCCCATCATACACCTCCAGCCCCCCAAAACCCACCCCCTGCCCCTCACTGGGGGGGATGAGTGCCACAGGACACCCCGCTCCCCCCATCAGCGGGCACTTACCCATGAAGGAGCCCAGGCTGCAGATGAGGCTGAAGAAGCAGCTCTCGGGTGGCAGGGTGCCACACTTGCTGTGGGGACAAGGCAAGGGGAGCTCTTAGCTGGGGGGGCAATGGGGTGTGGAGCTTGTCCCCCTCCCCAGGACACACTCCTGGGTCACCCCGGGGGTGCTTTGGGGGTGTCTCTGACCCCCGGCCGGCCCCGTGCTCCCACCCCACGGCTGCTCACCTGACCAGGGGGATGTGGTCCAGGGTGCAGCAGGAGCCGGGGCTGTCCACGCCGCACGACTGGTTGTAATTCCTGCCGGGAGCAAAGGGACAGGTTTGGAGAGACGAGCTGCCACCCCTGGGACCCCCCCTTCCTCCCCCCAACAAGGGGCAGCCCCACCCCAGGGATGTACCCACAACCCTGGGGACAAACCCCCTCCAGGGAATGACCCTCCAGGAGCATCACACTTGGGTTTCCACC